CTGTAAAAGAAAAGTATAAGCGTCATCATTAAACGTTTTACTGAAATGCTGGTTGAATCTTTCTTCTCTTCAACCTTGATTTTCATTGTTACTAGTTAGAACTTGTTTTATTTGCCGTTGTTTATTTAAATCCAATTTACTGATTTGGATGGAATCGTTTAAGTTAATCGAATAATTATCCAGCTCAGCTAGTTTTGTTTTATTTTTTCCATGAAATGCTTCTTCGATAATATTGACATTGATTAGATACAGGATCCTTTTCTCCTAGAATATTTTATAGCCTAGGCTTCGGTTCCTCTCATGCTGAAGACAAATCTATCTATGTTAAAACTGAACTGAGTTGAACTGAAATTTATTCCATCAAACATATGTATTATCGTCCACTGTGTTTATTCTTTGTTCTCTTTTAACCTATATAATAGATATACAAGGGCGCGGCGGTCTGTATCTGTGGATATTTCATAAAAAAATTTTCATAAATAATCATTTTAGGAGGATCCTTCTCGTGTATTTTATCGAAATCCTGCTTTTTTTCAGTTTATAACGAAAAACTGACTACCATAGAAAGAATCAAAAATATTATTTGAATATTTTTAAATGTTTTTAATGAAAGTCCTTTTTCTTCAAAAAGAAGACTGTTATAGATTATTTATATATTATGCAGAGGAGAAGTAGTTGCATTGGGACTACTTTTTGTGCCTATTACAAGAAGTTGTGCCTCGAAGTCGTCATCTTTTCAAAGCGTCTCCACTAGTTCCAATGCTACTTCACAATCAAACACTCACACCCTTACTTCTACTTCTGATTCCCTCTCATCAATGCCAGTGGACAAAGCCACGTCACTGACATTCTCCTCACCAACTACTAAAACAAAATTAAAGTTAACAAATTATTCAAGGTCTACAAAAACTACAAATTCACAGACGTTTAATATCATCAACAAACTAAACAGGTAAGAGTTTAGTAATCATGTAAAAGTTCATTGTTTTTTCTCTCTAAAGAGAGCAGTTTATAGTTTTGCTTGCCATTGACTACTAGTACTTACGAAGCAAGTAGTTGGAATCCAACTACTTACAACGGAACTACTTTCATTCTCTCATATCTACACCTTAATTGAATAAATCAAACTCAAATGAAGTATAAATATCTATTTATTGATTGGTAGATAGAGATAAACAGAGAGTACTTACAATTAAACTACTTCTTCTGAGTGCTCTTTCTGGACTTAGAAAATATTTCTTAACATGTATTATACAAAGAGAAGTAGTTAAAGCTCTACTACTTCTAACCACATCATAATATTTTCCCAGAGCCTACGAGAGAAAGGAAGAGTTTCTTTTATTCAGCGGGTGAAAATCTTATTTTATTCATTGGTTCCATTCTGTGCTTGGTATAAGCTTTATTCTGTCAGAATCAAGCGGAAAATTTTTCCATTATAGTCTTCTAAACTAAAACTATCGAAAAACACAAAATCAATTTTTGTACGGATAGAGATTCGAACTAGAAATGCACCGATTACGGTTATAACCGAACAACCGGTACCGGTTATCGGTTGTAACCCATACCGGTTGTAACCGGTATCGGTTACAACCGCTCATCGGTTAACCGTAACCGGTGCATCTCTAATTCGAACATATGAACTTAGCTTTGTAGTAACTAAATTCACTGTTTTGTGTCTATATTATGTACAACGATTGAAGTTGTGCAATCGACTCGATGTTATCAGTAGTAATCAGATTTTCGGGATTTCATCGGATTCTAATCCGTTTTTCGGATTTTTTCTTGTACTTCCAGGGATGGCTCCAGCTTCTCGAACCTTGGAAAGTTTGTATAGAATTCTCCAGACTTCTGTAGGTCTGGGGATCCACAGCTGCTTGGAATTCTGCTGCTTCCCCCTTGACTATTATACATGCTACTTCTTTATATGTGGTTTGCTCCGCTAATTCAAATATACCACAATTTACGATACATGATCAACAAGAAGAAAAACTAACAGAAAATAATTTGCTTTTTATCAAAGTTTTCTTCCGATTGATATTGTTGTTCACAATAACTTGTTAAAGCATATTTTCACTCCTTTTATTTGATTTAGACAAATAAAAATAGAATAAAGTATTCTCTAAGTTCTATCGCCGGGATATAATTTTTCTGTGATTTAATCCTTGGGAAGATGTCTCTAATCAGAGAATTTGAGAAAGTTGAGAACTATCCCATCCCTACCGCCCAGATTCAAGTAATTGATCACGCCTTTCATCGTGCAGTGCGGAAGAATAACTAAAACATTGATCTTCGAACAAAGAAGTTACCAAAATTGATCCCTTCTTAGATTGTCTCGTAATTTCATCATGATATACATTTTTTTCTACTTTTTTTCGCGCACGTTTTTGTACTTATGATTGTTCTTCTATGACTCAGAAATTGGATGAGAAAGAACTTATTTTATTCAAAAAATACTTTTTTTATTTTAGAAAAGTCATTTAAGTAAACAAATTTATGAAAAACCGGATCTTCATAAAAATGATTATTTATGAAAATCCTTTTCCTTTTATGAAGTATCTACCGATAAAGATCAAACTACTCTAACTATTTGGCTATTGTCATCGGTCATCATAATCTTTTTAAACCTTTTGTTAAACGTTTACCATAATTTTTTTAAATTTTTATCATGATTTTTTAAAAATAAAAGATCTCCAAAACCATTATTTGTGAAAGAGTTTATTAAACACTTCAGGCAGATCACCTGCAACAAACCATCTTCTATATTCAATAACCATCCATTCTAAATCTTTTTAAAAATCTTTTCGAAAAATGACTAGTATTGAAGATTACCAACGCCACTATCAAAAAGCACTGTTTTTTTTACAACATCTCTGTACAATTATATCAAAAACTGAATTAAAACAAGACGATTGCCATACAATTTTTAGTCAGTTATTTTCAACTTCAACTTACAAATGATAATTATAAACGACTGCAAACCATACTACAATTATCGTTTGTTTCTTATATTTTACCATTTTATGACTTGAAAAATAACACAAAAGTAGCAACAACAACGTCAATTTTCGGTGCATTGTCTTCGTGTGCGATTTCCAGCTCAGTTTTAGGTTCAGGTACGATTTCGTCATCAAGAACTTTACGGTCGCTACTAATAATATTAAATACCGATTACAAACAGCAACGACCTCATTCGTTACCTTCGTCACCTCATTTGTCAAAAATAAGTCATTTGCATATTCAAGAAAATATTAATCCATCAATCACCAATATTACTCGTTACGAATCATTGTCAAATGAAAATTTACAACAAGAACAGAGATCTTTAACGAATGATGATAATGATCCAATTGAATTAGATCGTATGGATTCGCCATCATCAACTAATCAACAACAGAGTTCAGCAACGAAATCACCTCTACAAAAGTCTACATCAATAACATCAGTTCCAGTTTTAACAAATATTTTATCTCCTGTTCATGTACCATTTTCAATTTTTGATCCAATGTCTTCGATTAATTCAGCAACAACCACAACATTAGCTTATACATCATCAATTTCTCATTTTCATGAAGTTCACCCTCAACGCTTAATGAGCAACAAAGATATACCATTAACAAATCGACGTTGTCCATGTTCATATTGTAACACATTAAGTTATAGTATTGACCATCAATTTATCGATACAGGATGTAATACTAACTCAACTGATACATCAGAAACTGTAGACTTTAAAGTGTTAAATTTAAAACACGGCAACAATTATCAATAACAACAAATTTATCCCCATCTCGTCATGGTCACTCATCATATAATAAAAGAAATAATAATCACTATTATAACAGCGGTTATTCATATAACTATCGTAGTTATTCTTATGATCGATATCGATCAACGTATTATCCATCTTACTATAATAATGAATACGACAATAACAACTCTTATTACTATTATCGTTCTTCTTATTATCCTCGTTACCGTCGTCTGCAACAACAATATAGAAATAATCGTTCATTTATTAATAATCGATTTGATTTAAATAGCACTACTTTTTCGTATTATAATTACAATAATAATAATAGCAATTATTCTGAACATCAGCAATATAATTATCTTTCTTCGAACTCATTAGGTTCAAAGTGGATTAATCAACAGTCACCACAATCATATTCAAATCAACATTCTAATTTCTTTCAACAAGATTCAAAAAACTTGCATCAACAATATCCACAACTAATTCGTTATTCACAAACAGCAACAACATCAATAGTTCAATCCTTAGCTCCACAACAATATCTGATTCAACCATTATCAACTTATTATCAACAACAAATACCACAAACAACATATTACATAACAGCAATAATAATTTTTCATCGACAACAACAATTTCTTTCTTAGATTCATTTAATTTATTCAAAAAAAATGTATCCATCATACAATTCATCATCGATATTTAATCAAGGACTAAAATACGATCGTGAACTTACCGAAGTAGAAGCAATTCATCTAGATGGTATTATTTATACTATCGGTCATGTCAATTTAACAGTGAACGCGATTAAACTGTTATCAAAAGGTCTCAAATTCATTCCGAATAAACCTTTTCACATAACAAGCCAGGTCTTTTCTCATTTTAACAAAATGCTGACAATGGAACGATATAAAAATGTCAGTATCAAGGTAACTTAAACCATCTACTACTGGTAAATATTCGTTCATTACCATCTCTTTGTTCCATCTTGTCCATGTATTTCAAAATGCTTCAATATCAAAAACGCCTCACGGTTTATGCCGTTGGGCGTTTTAGTCAAAACAAAATCTTGTGTTGCTTTGATGAATTTTATTATCCCAGAATGATTACTTTCTAGAATGGCTAACGACCAATGGGACGACGGTTCTATTTCAATCAATGGATGATTTGTGCCTTTCAAAATGACGCACATCCAATATACGGACTCTCATTGGACAAAAGTAGACCAATAAAATTTTGAGAAAATAGCATTCCATAAAAAGGCTTTCTGTACACCTGTTTTTAAGCAATTTTGTATTCCTTTGGTTAAAAATAAGATGAATTGCGAATTAACAACTATTTCGCTTCGATTGGATTTTTAAGAACAGAGTGAAAATCAGGTGAAAACATGAAAACAGTAATCGATACTTTTGACATGGAGAAAAGAGGGTGAAAAGGAAGCGGGCCAAAAATATCTTTGATGCCATTTTGTAGAGCTCGATGAGTACTACAAATGAGAGAAAAACAAAAAAGTTCTAGCATCTAGTTCTTTGCTGTAATCATAATATTCGATAATACAAAGCTTGTATTATCAAATATTATGATTACGGCAAAAGACACTAAGTAAACATTTTCACTATACTGGAAATGGCGCTATTTTATCCATGGGAAAAATTGCTAAAAAATTGGCCAAAAACCGAGGTGGCTGACAAAAAACCTCGTAAAAAACTAATTCTTTTGTGGAAAGCGATACATATTCTGAAAGAGAAGACTTTAGCCTATCTAGTATGAGGAAAAAGCTCAACTTCAATTTTTCCATGAAAATGTGTAATTAGCGTTGTTCATTTCCAGATTATTATTTATTATTTTGGTGAAAAATGACCGTATTAGATCATATTGGTAAATGATTAAATAAATATATATTTCATCTATTACTCGTTAATTCATTTGTTTAAAATAATATATTTAATTTGATTTTTAATTTCTAACAAAATACTTCCAATACAAATTTGACATTTCTTTATTAACACTGACAACCTTATATTCTATTTTTCTCAATCCATTCCCTATAAACACTATTTTGAGTTATAACCTTGTAGAATGGATAAGCAATTTTAATGTTTTTAAACAACGGTGACTTGCTCTATCATCGATACTATATAAAATTAGATAAAAGTAATTAAACAAGTTTTTAGTCTAAATCTCGTAATTGACTTTTGTTATGTGTATAGTCTAAAAGTAGAATTTCGCTCGAGATTTGTGAGAAAAAAAGAAGAAGA